TCTGCACCCAATCCGCTATCATCCTTTTGGTTAGTTTTCCTAGTTTTTCAATTTCTCTCTTTAAGCTGAATTTGAGCAGAGAACAAATACGGAAATGCAGATTTCGCATAAACAAAGCACGCACAGCAAATTAAAACAAGTCATAAATGTGAGCCCCAGAAACCAGAAGAACTGTGGCCGCAACACACAAATGGGGAAGACTAGGAACAGGCAGAGGGAAGCCCCAAGCAGAATGGGATAGGGGTACCCAAACAAGGGGAAAGCAGCATTTCAGATCGTGTCTTGAATATTCTATGATAGTTAATTGTATCGGTGCTCTGCGCTCTGGCTATATCTCTGTCTATGAGGCAAACATTCGGAAATTCCAAAGATTTATTTATGGAAGGACGGGCGAAATTAGCCAAAAATGCATTGGTGAAGAGGTCTGGGTCTGGGCCCGTAAGGGCTGCCGTTCCCTGGCAAAACGTGAAAAATAACTTACGCCTTTTTATGTGCAAAATATTGAAATATTAGTGGATGGAATGGGCTGGACTCTGTCCTGAAGAGAGGCAAAGGATACCCTTGGCATGCCGGACCCAAAGGATTCATCAGCGGCAACAGCTGTTGACTGCCGTCGCTGCCGAAAATGTTAGCATTTTGCGATGATGTATCGCTGGCATCATTATAACAGCTGCCAGAAGGTACCCCTATCCTTTCGGCACCGCTCTTTCTCCCCCACCAGGAACCTGGTTTGGGCATGAAATTTTCGGATGCGTTTTCACCCGAGCCCTGATGGGCCAATGGGACAGGGCCCCATTTGTGCGTGCCTTGGGTACTTGTTGTTATATTTATCACAGAAATGTACTTTATCTTTGCCGGTGCCCAATGCGCGGAAAAGAGGAGGGCCCAAAGCGATGGCAGAGGGAAAACGATGGAAATCATGGAGCTGTGGAAAAAGGGAGAGGAGACCCAATGTAACCCTATACCCCTGGGCCAGGACATCAGTCACCAGATGTTGCTCGGGGCATTGTGTCTCCTTCAGCAATTTTGCATTTTCTCATCTGTCTGCGAACCGGATGTTTATGCAGATTTACATGTAAATTAAATTGTACATATATAGGAGTATTGTTTAGAGATTAAACTTGCATTTTGAACCTGAACCCGCAGCAAGCGAAAGTTTTATCGTAAAAGAATGCTTAACAGATGTTTGATTTTGATGTTTATGGGTGAAAGGAATGCTGCCAGCATGTATTTTTAATGATTTACTTTACTTCCATTTTGATGGATGGTAATAAAAAAACATGCTGGGGATATGTGTGTGTGTGTGTGTGTGTGTGTGTGTGTGTGGGTCAGGGATAAATCGAGTGGGCAGGGAACAGATTGAACAGAATGTAATTTAGAGAGAGGGAGATTGAATAGGTTCCCCCTCTTGATCAGCGTCAGCTCTTGACTCTCTCGACTCTTGGCCACTCTTGACTATTTCCACCCTTTTCATCATATTAGGGGGGAGACCTTACACCCTCTTTTATCAGGTCTCTTCACCCTTTTCATCAGCTCTCTGCACACTTTTCATCGGCTGCCTCGACCATTAATGCCACCGACACCTCTCACATCTCCACACACAGTCCCTCTCTGCTCATAAATTTCAAGTGGCATATGCAAATGTCAGTCAGACTCCAGGATATTGATTGAAATGCAATATTCTGGACGCGGTGTAACTCGGTAATTTGCATAAGTCCATTACTGACCAAAATGACAAGCCCTGAGAGAGAGCTTGGGGGCGGAGACAACTACTACGAATAGGTTGACCTGCATTTGACCAGATGCGAAATTGTGTGGGCCTAATTCGAGGGCGTTGCTCATGACGTTGAATACGTTGAATGCGGCGATACGGAATATGTGCAAATGCTGCCGGCCTGTGTGTGCAGGCAGGTATTTCGAGAGGCAAGCATTTGTTACATTCTACATGCAACTCATGATACATGGTACATAAATACCTTCTGCATTTATTATTTTGAAATTTGTTCTATAAATATATGTGATGTTTAAAGACACCATGTGGTTCTCTGTGCCACAGAATGCCCAAGGGTTTATTGTCTCCGAACAGTAGAGTAAGTAGGGTAGGTAAGTAGGGTAACAGTAGATGGAAGAAATATTATAACTATGGGTGGAAAGGGGAAAGCGTCCAGAAACCTGCGGGACTGCCGAACAGTCTATGTATCAATGCATTTGCCTTTTAAATCTTGTGCTGTATTTCCACCCTTCTTACTCTTTGTCTCTGGCGGACATTTTGGTGTATAGTATATCTATGCTTTCTATCAAATGCCATCTAATCTCTGCAGAAGTTTATACATTTATTTTTCCATCCCAGTTTTCGTTGCCATGACAAAAAGCTTTTCGCTTGCAGCTGATTCACTTGCATCTCCCTGCCATTTTATTGTTTAAGATATCTACAGGAATATTCAAGTATATATGGACAGAGAAGTATATTTAATATGGAACATGACAATATTGTCTTGGCCTTTACCCACAGAAAACGGAGAACAGAGTAGCAGATTCTGCTGCTACTCTGTCCCGACGACTGTCCCGGCAGACATCATTATTTCTCAAGTAGATGTTGCGCTGATAAACTCATAGAGCGTAGCAGCTTCCCCTCTCCCTGACCATACAATCCCAATCCCAATTCCAGTTCCAGACCTCGGTTAGGAGGACAGCATCGTCATCGTCTTTCGCTCTGCTTTGGCATCTTTATCCTTTATGCAAGAAAAAAGAGGGAGCATGAGACACGATTCGAGTAAATAAAAACACAGAGCTTCTTGGGGCATGATGCTCATGCCGAGCAAAGTTGATGGCAATAAAAAAAAAATGCTTACAATTTATTGATTTCGTATTAGTAGAGGACCGACGACACGCGGAATAAACGCACACAAACACATGCCCAGGACGTATGCATAACTTTGCAAACGCCTGAAAGTATGCAACCAAATCTCTGAATTTCTTTCGCCCGCAATTTGGATGTTGACGCAGAAGTTTGTCGGTTCTTCTTTTTTCGTTCGTTTCGGTTAATGCCTTGATTTCAATTTGCCCAAATGTGGGTCAGCTTTTTTTTTGTCTGGTTTTACTTCGGGCAGCCTTGCTAATTTGAGTGAGAATTTGAATCTTTTGGGCCGCGGAACTTGCTAATTGAATCAAATTGTCTTCTAATTGCTGTCGAGTTTCGATTTCTTTAAACAGAATTTGTGTGGCTTGGAGAGTGGCGGAAGTGGGCAAACTTTCCACTTGACTGGTGGGATGTTGCAGCTGGATATTGCTCTATTAGGAATTATTCAGATAATACACCACACACAAACATAGATTCACTCACTCGAATTGTTCTGCAAACAATCCATCATTTAGGGCCAAATATTGTGTTGCCTGTACAAATTATAAACCAAACTTCTGTATGCCAATTTGATAAGCTGATTTATGCTTCATGTTTAGACTGCGGTCCTCGTCCTCACCCTCTCTGGGTTGACAGGGAAATCATTAGGCTAATGCGATTGGAGGGCCTGCAAACACAAATATTGGAATTGGCAAACAAAAACGAGCTGTGCACATAAATTAAACCGGAAATCAGTAATCCCATTGATTCCCAGCTCTATAGCTGCAACCCAAACGATATGCAAAGTTAGTTCGTTCGGTGATAACAAATGTGGAACAATTATGGCCGCATTAAGCATATGCCCAAATGGTCAGCACTCCTCCATTCATGCGTGTGTGTGTGTGCGTGGGTCAGTCGAGTGCACCGTCAGTCGTTCTTTGGATTTGCATAAATCCAGCCACATTTATTCAATAAGCAACCCACACACACCCACACTCTCACATATGGGTGGAAGAACAGCAGCAGCAGCACTCGACTTTGACTGGGCTTTAAGACCACTTAATAATCCACTTGGATGGGTTGAAGGGGAGTCGGACAGAGGCTCCAGCTCCTCTTGCTGATTGCCCGCACTGTTGGCATTGATTTACGGGGTGGACTAACCCCAGAAACCGAACCCTTGCCCAATCCCAATACCAATACCAATACCAATCGGGTATGCAAATCGAATACAACTAAATGTAAACACATACAAATGCAGTCGGAGATGGAGATGGAACCTTCGTTCCATTTCTATTTTTCCGATTTGATTTCGCAAGGGTTCTAATGCCTCAGTGGCTGGGACTTGGACAGGAGCAGCAGGACCATGACTGGGAGCAGGAGTAGGACGTACTGGCTGACTGGATAGCTGGCTGGCTGGCAGACATCCTTGGCAAACTTTTGCTTCAACGGCTTAACTTTTTTGCACGTGTAGCTGTGCAGCAGGCGGGGGATGAGGTTGAGGGGAAGTAAGACCCTGCCACTATACACTTTTAGTTAAACTCAAAAAATAGAAGAATCTTTTGTTCTTTGGCAATCTCTTAAAATGTTTTTCCAGCCCCTTTTTAGATGGCAACGAAGTTTCCTCATTTGCGGGAGACTTGAGTGGTTCTAGGTCTTAGCTCTGTGAAGACTAAAGACCGGATTAAGTTTAATGAAACACACCTTTAATGAATCACCTCTGAGTCGTCCTAGTCAAGGTCTAGGTGCACTAAAAACAAAAGTACCGCACCCACAATAAAGGGAGACAATCAATCAGATAGAGATATGCAAATGATGTGGAAAACCTTGACGGAAGATCAGCCAGGTAGACCGCAACAGAAACCGTTTAACCCAACAAAACGGCCCAGACAACAATGGGCCATAAACGCATTAACAGTAATGGCAAACAAAAAGAGAGGCAGAGGCAGCGACAGAGGCAGAAGATCAACCAGAAGACAGATGATGTCGCACCTGCGCAGTGCGCACGAGTGGCAGGCAACATGTTGGACCTCGGGCGTCCAACGCGCTCTTACCTGTGCAGGTGAGCGACCCAACATGTTCGCTTGCATTTCTTCGTTTTCCAGTTCCATCGCGAAGCCCCTGAAAAATGGGTCAGGCTATATAAACGCAAGTTCAAGGCGATCGCCGTTTCAGACAACTTTAGCAGCGGACGCAGCAACACCACAAAACCAGCAGCAATAGCACCACCTCTATCGCGAAGTGAAATCCGAAATCTCTCGAAGTAAACGAAAGTTGGTATCGATCGACATATCGAAGACACACAAAATATACAGAGAGAAATTTTCCAGTGCAATTTTTGGGTGAATTTTTAAGTGAATTGTGTGCTTGACAATCGCGTGCTGAACTTTTCCGTTTTTCCAGTGCCAACGAGCCAAAACTACACTCCGCCAAAGGTGTAATTAAAATTTTGCTTAATTGTTTTGAGTTCAGCCAGCTGCGAGACATCGGGATTAACAGACAGGTGAGAGAAATTTTTTCCAACATCGCAAAAAAGTGTCGAACTAAACTAGTTTTTAATGGAACTATGCAAACTGAAATTGTTCAATTCAGAGACATTCCATTAAAGAGTGGATTTATTTATTCAATTTAATGAAAGTGCGCATTAAATGGTGTAAATATTTATTTAATTTAAGAGATATTTAAAGAGTTAATTATGTCAACATTTTTATATCTTGAGTCATCTGAAGTAAAAGTTTGCGGATACAGTTGGGAGTTTTAAATGATGAAATCGATATTTGGGAGATTTTTATTGCCTGGAAATTCGTATGATTAATTTTCGAAATGGTATTACATCGGATAAAATATGTTTAGTGTGAAACAAGATATATAACATTTTTAGGTATGAATACTATTACCTGAATATGAAATTAAATCTATAGTATATGTATATTTCCTTTAAATATACTTAAATTCTGGACAGTTACCATTTCGTTAACTGATATGGCAAGGATTTTCTACGACTACTTTCCCCTTAAGAATTCTGCCTTGAAAGTGAAGGACCACACTTAAATATTGCGCTTATGAACCTGCTTTAAATACAGACTTCAAAGATCACTGTGCACTCAATAAAACCCCATCAAGATCATCTGATAGACTTTCAGATTTCGCAGCTTAAACTGTATCGTCTTTAAGCCAGATCGACAACCAATTGATTAGCACTGACATACCCCAGAAGCAGAACCAGAACCGGGGCATTAGAAAGTTATTTACAATTGATTGAATGCCACAATTCTGTACCGTCGTCGTGCCATGCGTTTTGTTTGTCCAACAAATTGGGGCTTTATGGCGACAGCCAACAATTTGGGTCAGGCCTAAAGAAATAACAGAACTTGAAGCATAAATACAGCAACAATAAAGCCACAAAGGGGGGCGAGAGAGAGAGAATTTCTGTTAAACGAGTTAACAACTTTGCATGAAAAAGCAAACAGAAACCCATCGACTGGACGCAGCGTGGAACATGTCAAAAGAAAGAGGGGGGCATGTGGTAAGGAGAGACGCGTATGGGAGGTGCGGTGCGGTGCGGTGCGGTGTAGGGTCGGGCGACACTACCAGCCGGGCACGCACTCTTGGCCAGCAGGCAACAGACCCGGCTACATATGGAAATGTGCACTGAGCCCAGGTTCTCTGGAAAGCAAACCGATGCCAGGCAAACCTCCAATGTGCACTGCTGACGCCGACTCTGACGATGATGATGGCCGCCCACTGACCCAAATGGGCGTCTGTCGCCCGCCTGTCCACCTTTCCAAAGAATTTTCGTTTTCTGTCGCCCTCTCCCTCCTCCTTTGGCTCTCTCCACCCCCTCTTTTGGCACTTCCAACTCCCCTTTTGTGAAGGAGGCCTTGCGGCCGTTTTGTCTGTGGCCTTGATTCCATGTGGGTCTTTGTCTCGCACTCTTCACTCTTGACTCTCTTTCTCTCAGCGTCTCTGCTGTCTCTGCTGGCCAATTAATGCCTGCCTTTTGGCCAAGTCTTTTAGGGCAGTTTCCTATGCAGAATATATATTTATTTTATTTATTTAATTGCCTGTAAAAGGTCACGTTTGTCTGCCATTTGCTTACCAATTTGCTTGGCATTCAAGCCATTTTCTGATTTTCTGCTGCCGGCTCTGTATTTATTTCTTATCGGCTTCTACCTTGAAGCAAGTTATTTTATTTTATTTAACTTTTTTTTTCTTATTTTTCGTTGGTAACTTTCATTCATTCATCGGTTTGTTGTTTGTTGTTGGTTGTTGGTTTCTTTTGGCATTTTGCGGTTGTATTTGTTGGTTTTGCTGACTGGCTGGCTGTTCGGTTGTCAAGTCGAGTGAGGTGAAAGTTTTTGCGTTGAAGCTGCCTTTGGAGTCGAGTTAAATTCAATTTGTTTTCGTTGATTGCACTTTGAGAGAATGCTGAGCCCTGAGCGGGGGGATATGTTATCTCCAAATGCAAGCAAAACTAAGCTAAAAAATTGTCTTTCTGCGAAACTGCTATGACTTTCAGGTCGCTATGACAGCTGTAATTTGTGTCTCAGCGGCAGCTGCAGCTGACTAATAACCATAATGGCCATGGCAATGGCAACTGCAAGTGCAATTTGTTCTGCTTTCTTGCAGTCAGCCACCAACTGCATTTATCTGTTGGATTTGCAGACTGCATTTTGGGGTCAGTAAAAGTTGAAGACAAGTTTTAGTCAACTTTTCCGTGCCTAAAATCGCTTGACGATCATTTCTGCCTGCGTTCACATTGCATCACTTTGGATATTTGTTACCAAATAATCGATATAGCTGGTCAACACTCTTTACCCTCACGCACGAGCTTTTGGGCCGAATTAAAATGCAGTACAGTTCGTCAATCATTTGGCCGAGTGCCTACAGTTTGCCAGCGGCTTTACATTGGAGGTGGCTGACCAGCGGCGCAAAACGAAAGACTTAAGGCACAAACTTGCTAGAAAGCCGCAGTGCCGCAGCCAAATAAGGCTAAGTACGCGGCGCCTCTAAACAATTGCCATTTATTTTTTTAAGTGTTGAGCCTCTTCTTGGTCAATAAACCTTGGCTCGGATTCTGGGCAAAAAGAAAGTGAAACCTGAATATTTGTGGCTGCTCTGCTCAAGTTTCTCTGCGGTGTTGGCCGGAAACCAGTCCATGACTGTCCAGAAATCTGGCTAACGCTCTTTTAGGTCTTCGCTGCAGAGAATGATTCACGAAAGAGCAGAGAGCAATGGGCAGGCATCTGTGTATCTGTGCATCTCTCTCTCTGTATAGATGTGCTCACTTACCGCAAATCACGAACATTTTTACCGCTTTCTCATCTTTGACTTTGACCAGAAAGCCGGTGGAGCGTGTCTCGGCATGGGACCGCAAACGAAACTGAAAATAAATATCACACACAAACTACAATGATATTTCTCCTTCTCCATCCAAAGAACTTGGTTATTGTTATATGTCTGTTTACTCCCCCTTGTTATGGCATTTCTTTTCCTCCCTCTCTCTGTATGTTTTTGCGGCTTCCACACTTTCTAATTTGCGACTTTTGACCAACTGCAGCCGTGTAATGGCTGCTCTCTATATTGAAATAGTTATATTGCTTTTGCTGCTTTTTATAGTGATTTTAATTGCCATTTTTAGACAAACGATTTGGTGCTGCCGCTGGCCATGAAAGTAAGAGTTGCGTGTGAAGTTTCCAATTAAGGTTTGCGTGTTTCGTATCTCCGAAGTGAAAAATGAATACGTTCGAGTGTAAACAGAAGTTGTGGAGGGAAAGGCGCCACTTTTTGAGAGAATTATGTCACAGCAGATGGCTGTCATAAAGACGAGAGTTCTTTGCGAGTCATGCGAGTTATTTTCCCATCACAATTCCCATTGTGGCTTGGCATTTTACCATTTCTCTCTCTCTCTCTCATATAATCAATGAAATTTCTCGGCCATATGCGGGTATCGTATCGTAGCGTATAATATCGTATATCCTCAGCCATTAATTACCATTATCTTAACGACTCGATCACGCTTGCAGATCTCTGGGGCTGCAGCTTAAACTAGCTTCTGGCTCCAACAGCTTTCTAAATTTACATGCGCACCGTAATTTCCACGGAACTGTGTCGAATTGTGTCACAAAACAATCAAATCTCGATTGGCATAACCGTGAGATGGGGCTCACTGCTGCTGCTGCTGCTGCTGTCTGATTAATGATCTGGCAATTTACATTTCAATGCAGCTTGACCCATTCTGGGGAGCCTGTTCTACGGCGGCCGGCAATTAAATGGAAATCAATGCAATCTCTTCTCCGCCATTGCCATTGCCATTGGCAATCCTCTTGAGTCTCCACTCTTGAGATTCCCCACGACTCCACACACTCGTTGGCTTTATTAATTGTAACGGTAACCTGTTGCATGACATCTGAGCAAGAGAACCGCTAACTGGAACAGGTTCTAGCCACAGCAACAAAATAATATTACAAAAAGAGAGGAGCATGAAGAACAGATCAGAAATAAAGCGAAGATGAAGAAACTTTACCCATTTCACATTCCCATTCTAAGCCGCTCGGATAAAGAGCTCAATTCTGGATGCTAATATCAGACAAAACTGTGAAGATCGCATTGAGGAAGTCGCCACTAATTGCTCTTACTTGGCACCTCACCTGTGCCCCACCTGCGCCCCACCTGTGCCCCACCTGTGGCGGCTTTCTAACGCATGTTGCTCAACTTGGATAATTTCCCTGCTGCTTCTGCCACAGAAACCACTAGGAGATGGTATGGACTGGGTATGGCTTGGGTCTGCCATGGGATGGGATGGCATGGGTATGGGTATGGGTATGGGATGGTGAACAGGTTCAGTTTGACCGACACCTTAATTGGGAGCAGTTAGACTAGTTTCTAGCTGTTTCGGAAGCAAACCTGGAGACGCTTTGGCTTTGGCTTTGGCTCTGGCGTTGGCTTTAATTACACGCCACAACAACTTTCTTATCTGGTTTCCATGGAAATTGTAAAGTAATTTTTGCTCCATGAGAAATGGAAAATTTTTGACAATACCCGGAGAAAAGCTTTTCTTTCTGTTATTTTTTGGGTGCCAATTAAAGAATATTTGAATGCAAATGAAATGCTGCAACACTCAGATGGGTTGCTTGCATGACTCTTTTCTTTTTTTTAATGGGTGAAAGCATATTTTCAAAGAGCATTTTCCGAGGATAAATCTTGTCGTGTGAATTGTAATATTTAAATTTTAATCCAGAAGTAAAAACAAGAACTGGCGTACTCCAGTCAAGATGAGTTGCAGGGATCCGTGTTCTTCAATTTATTTTTCATTGGAGACATGATATTATTACCAATTCATACGTACATATGTAATACTCGTAGCATGAGCAAATCAGGTCACTGAAAGGGGGGACAAACCTAATTTTAATGCCCAGCTCGTGCGGCGGTTCAGGAAACTGACCCACACACACAATTGGGCAACGTGAAAGTGTTATGCCAATGGCCGACTATAGCCTTCGATGAATTTCAAATAGCTTTGCTCTGTCTTTTGCAGCAGTCATGTGGAATCAGAGTAAAGTGCACGCCTATCTGCTGCTCGCGATAGTGGCCAGCAATTGCCTGCTGATGACCTACGCCTTCCCGCAGCAGGAGGTCTACCAGAGACAGCACCAGCTGTCCCAGTCCCCAGTCTATCGGGCGGAGGAGAATGCCAGGAAGTTCGCGGTGAAGCCGAACGCCTCGAAGAAGGTGGCTCTGGACGACATCGAGGACGATCTGGAGAACAATCAGCTGCAGGAGAGTGTGGGCGGCCCCGGCGGATTCACCTGGTCCAACATGCTGTCCACCGTGATGACCATGTTCTTCAATGGCGCTGTGAATGCCCCGTCCAAGTCCGAAGATGTGGACTCCCCGATCGGACTGGGCGGCAGTCCCTGGGCCAATGTGATCTCCATGGGTAAGTCTCACTCGGTAGCTCGTATTTGTTGCAGCTCCCATTATCGAACCATCTATACACCTTAGGTCTGCGCATCATCAACACTCTGCTGGGCGGCGGAGCACCCAGCGATGGCATCGATAAGGTTGACAACGGCGGATCTCCCATGCAGGTAAATCGATCGATCCATTAGCCACATAACATGGTGTACACTTACTGATTGCTTTTGTGCCACTTTTGTTTTGCTTTTATCGTAATTTATCGTTGATTATTCGTTGATCGTTGGATCGTTCATTTTTTCGTTTTACATACATACATACATACATGCATACATACTCGTATACTCGTATATCTTTTACTTATACTTATACTGATTCTGGGTGTTTGGCTCTTCTTATTCTTTCGATTATGTTCGTTTCCCGCCTACCGCATACCTCCTCTACCTGTACCTTTACCTGTACCTGTACCTATACCTCTTCCTCTCTAATAAATCGCACAGGGCATATTGGTGGCTGTGATGTCTGCCGTTTTGGGCTCCAGAGACCCCGATCAAGTCAACTCGATGGCCAAACAAGCTGGCGAGGTAAACATCTTTATTGCTTTCACACAACATACAACAAAATCAAGAGACACTAGACAACAAGATCGGGGCGAGGATAGCACATTATTTCAATTAATTTAAAGATGTTCCCTTAAAGTTCCCTCAAAGAATTTAGTGATGAATTTTGAATAGGAGTTTGAGTTTAGGGGGGGGGTTCAGGGTTTAAAGTAAAATCCTTCTTTAAACAGGTATCTCTATAGAGAATTATTAATCATAATTATGAATTAAATCAGTTTAAGATGAAAAGTTACCCGTGAAATGGTTTTCTTTGGCAAAATTTCTCTTCCTTTAGTTCACGCCTGAATCTTGTTGCCTAGTGCTGAGAATGTAAATGTTTTATATGCACACACCACACACACACACACACACCACAATCTTACACCACACACACACACCCAGACACGCACACACTCACACTCACACACACACCTTTTAGAATTGGCACAAGCAAATGCAAGACTAATTGACTAATGCTTCCTCTGCCCCGCTCCCAACCACACACAAACACACACACTCCACACTCCACACTCCACACACACCTGAACACCACTGAACAACGCTCCCCCTTCCACAGTTCATTCAGATCGTGATGAATCTGCTGGACGCCCTGAAGACCTCCTTCTCGCACCGCTCCCTCACCGCCCGCTCCCTGGGCAAACGTGACTCGGTGAGCGATGCCGTCGTCGCGGGCATCTCCCTGATGAAGGGCTACGTCCGCACCTACCGCAACTCCGAGGACAAGTGCACGCAGCGCTACATGTGCGACGCCAACACGGAGTGCGTGCGCGAGATTGGCGGCAGCAGCATCTTCTGCCAGCTGGGATCGTAAGTCGGGCCGGACCCCTTCCTAAGATGTTTCCTAATCACAACTCTCCGTCCCCCTTTTTAGTTACGCCACCAGCTATGTGCTCGGACGCAGCAGTGGCGGCAGCTTTGAGGAACTGTACGATGCCGGTCGCCGGGGGCGCTCCGGCTTTGACTGCCGCCAGATGTATCTGGAGTGCAATGAGGTCTAGATCCGACAGGGGGCCTAGTGGCTCACTGAACTTCGTTAGTGCTTACGACTGGACTTTTCTCTTAACTAATTTAAATTAATTTATGTACTTCCATTTAGATCTTAGCTATTTATATTATTTATTTACAAAAATTCTGTATTTATTTGCGTTTCTGACCAAAACAACAATCCTTACAAAATAAATGCATTGAACGACATTGTGTTTTTTCTTTTCAATTTTGAAATTCGATTGCCCGCTCAAAGTTTGGAAATCAGTTGTTGGTCCAACAGTCCGGCAGCACTGTTTAGCTAGCAGTCAGAAGCTGGCTGGCAGCACTCTTTTGCTATCGATTAGGAGCTGGCTGCCATGAGATAGCCAAACTGCTTCGTGAAAGCAGTGCAAGCAGTTAAATAAAGCAGTTCAACGTATATTCAAAACGGATATTATAGGCAAAAAAAACTAAAACTAAAACCCTAAAACTAAATAAGCGGTTAATAATTGTAAAATCAGTGAAGAATTGCGTGTCAGAAAAATAAATTACGAAAATTGAAGAAATGCTGGAAGAAACATATGGAGCTAAAATAAAAACTATGTTGACAAATAAAATTACTTTTTATATATAAACCTATTTTTGATCCAAAATGTCACGGACTTATTAATCTGCCCTCGTACCACAAGCGTATATCTCTGCCTTTAATTTTTTTAATTTTTGGTTGCGTTGGAAATTTGTACATCGTTGTCCGTAAAACGTCCGGCGGATACGGCGATCCAAGTCCAGCATACGATGCAGATTCTCCAGCATTTTTATCAGCCTGTGGCCATTGGGGTGGCTCTGGAAAGACGCAACGTTGCAAGTTTCATGACTTTAAGACTCTTCAAACTTGTCAAACCTACGACTTAAAAGTCCTCTAGAATTTGAGGCCGTGCTAGCGGCGGCCGTCTTGCATAGGGGGAAGTCGCGTGGAATCTGCAAAATTTAACTTGGATCTGAGCACAGGACGCTCTTCATGAATATGCTCATATTCCGAGGCAGAGGGAGTGATGACAGCCGGTTCCTGGATTATGTTAGACGGGCGTCCCAAGGAGAGAAATTAGAAAAAAGGCGACATCAACCGATTTGGAGATCTGGAGGACTACAAGCAGCCGTTTTATCTGATGCTGGGCGAGTGCCACTTGCCCCAAATGGCCAGAGAGGATCAGCACAGCAAACGGAAGGCACTGGCGATTGCTTTCTGCCGGATCGATGGTGAGTGCCGTCCATCTGACTGTGGCCTCGCTGAGAGTCAACCAGATAGGAAGTACGGAGATCCGGCACGCCGTAAAGAAGGTGTTGATTATTCTGCAGAAGAGGAACCTAATGCCCGTTGTAGCCGATGGGGCAATGATGTACGCCGAACAACGCAGTTATACAGTCATATATGACCTCCGCCATTTAAGGCATAGAATGGAGGAAAAATACCACCATTGAGAGAGATCACGCAATCACGACGATATACAATCGGACACGTGCTGCTGATGATTGGCCACAGGAGTTCCCAACCATTGTGGAATATGGAATATTAATATGGACTTCAGGAGCTTGAGCAAATCAAAAATGTTGTGTGGCGGAAATTGGCTCTGGATGGGATACCGTTAAGCCTGAAACATGTCAATAGCAGAAAGCTAAAGAGATTCGGAGAATCCCTGAAGGTCGATATGCAATTCAGCCTTAACGATCTTCAGTTGGGTGCTGGCCACTTGGTGAGCTTGACATACCCCAGGGATGAGGCAGGAGAGCTATCTGCCATACAGTTCGGAAAAGGCATCTCAACGGTGGACGCTATAGGCAGGCAACGCCTGGAGCGCTTGAAAGTATTTCAAGGAAAGACCCCTAAACACAGCGAACTTCGTTTCGCCCAAATTTAACGCACTCAGATAAATTCAATCCCGTAGAATTTAAAAAAATTAATATTTTGGACCCATTGCAAAAATTCCAAGTCTCACTAATTATTTGTATCAAAATAAATAAACTTCATACACATCAACAATAAAAGAAATAAAATAAATAAAATAAAAGAAAGTATCTGCCCATATTTCGTCTCTGCTTGTGCAATAATTCAAAAACTGAGCCAAAGCAAAAAGGTGTGTCTTCTCCACTCACTCATCCATCCACCCAGCCTCCCTTGACAGCAAAGTTGCCGCCTCTTTGGAGTTCTTTGATGCAACTTGCAGCCGTCTCGGCCGTTTTCCTGGTTCTTAGTGCTTATCAACATTCAGCAGCAGACATAAATGACAGCCACAAGGGATGGGCACGTGATAGGATGCTTGTAGCTGGAGAAAGTTTTCCGTAAAAAACATTAATTCACATACCTGGGTGCACAGCACGGCAGCTTCCTTGGAGTAGGCTATTTTCGGGGGATAACAAACAGGAAAACTTGCCGGGCCAAAGGCAAGGAACTTGTCTTGTCTCTGGGCCACTGCGCAGCTGCAGCCGTTCACAAAGTTTCTGCAATTTTGATATATGTCAAGGAACAGCTGAGATTTATGGGACAGCCGGCAACGCCGACGCAAAGAAAATGTGCACCAGGCAAAACGAATCTGGGGAAACTTAACTAAACTCCGAAGGCATATCTTCAAGTGGATGAGTTGAAGTGTGTGTGTGTGGGGTGGGGGGGGGGGGGGGAAATGACAGAAGTGAGAGCCTAACCCACATTTAATGGGCGGAGATGGCAACATTTTGTCCAATGCAACAGCAGCAGTGGCAGCAGTGGCAGCCTCCAAAGTTATGATTAATTTGTGCGGCCAAGTTTTTGCTGCTGCTGGGGGGAGTCTCCTGCTGCAGCCCACCAAAAAAAGTTGTTCCATCTACAGAATTGTTTGTTTTCACTATCTGCAGGAGCAACGGCAGCAGTAGGAACTGCGGCTGCAGCTGCAGGAGCCTTCTGCCTGTAATTAAAGGCGCTTTGGACCAAATGGCAACCGGCAGCTGGCGCTGGCGCTGGCACTGCCACTGGCTGGCGATGCATCGCTTAAAATTCCATTTAATTACGCTGAGTGTTGAATATCTTTACTGCGCTAATTAGAACTGTGCGGAAAACTTTTCTCGGACACCAAATGCACTCCTAAGAAACTCTCCAAATGAAACAATCGAATTTGGACAACGATCTAATTTGCAGCAGAAGTAGCAGAGCCAACAGCTGCAACAGGAGGAGGAGCGCCGTGACAGCAGCCGAATTCCAAACTCGAGCAGGAGTTTGACATTTTTGTCAGACTGCTTAAATTGTTTCAGCAGATTATAATTTACTTGTTGTCTGGGGAAGAAATTAAGTCTGCCTGCTCGAATCGGAGGGGTTTTTAATGAAATTTGGGAATGCTGCTGATGGCTAATTGTTCTTGGTAGAAATTAAACGAATTAAAAGGAACTACTCAAGAGGATTTCCCAAGAAAACGTGAACGTAAAGTGAAGTGCTATGCTATGGAAACGTTCTTGGTAACCATTTAGATGAGGTGTGCATGAATACACGAAAAAATGATGTATAAATGAAAATAATTGAGTTAATTAAAGATCCATTGAGACGAGAATTGATTAATTACAGAGCAGAGTATTAATGACAGCTCCATTTCCATATGAGCTGCAGCAGTGAAATGTGAGCAGCATTCAACCATTGTTGAATCATTTTTATATTAAAATACAAATAAAATACGAATAAATCTGTAAATTGAATAAACATTTTCAATAAAACTGTCATTTCAGCTCGTCGCTATTATACGTTCATATATCATACATGCATACATGTACATACCATGAAAAAAAACAATACAAATTTAAGTAAAATATACATGCATTTCTGATGTCCATTGCATTTCCATCAATTTCTGTTTCTGTTTGAAAATAATTAATTTTCTTCTTTGAGCTGTAATTAAATGCTGTATCAAACGTATCAAATATTATTCGTTGGCGAGCAAAGAATAAATATTTGTCAGAATTTGAACATTAAATGTACATTCATCAATGCACATATCTCGTGGGAAATTTAATATCAGCTCTGTCCAAAGGCAGGTTAAAGGTGTTCCCTTTATCACAGAAATAGACAGTGAAGCAAGAAAAGTTTTTTATCAGCCTCATATCCTACACTTCTTATCCAAGCTGTCAGAATAGGTTCAACAAATTCCATGTCAGAAGGGATCTGTGACACACAAATGTAGGAAACTTTTGCCAGACATTAGCACTCTGACACGAGGCCAAAAAAAAAAAAAACTACTACATATTTATGGTAAATTCATGGGAAAACCAAACCGCAAATCAACAGGGAAACACATAGTCAAAGCACACGTACAGCCAGGTACATAAATGTCCATCAAAGTCGCTGGCAATTATTTTGATATTTGCGCAAGCATTTTTTGATTTGATTTCCTTGTTGGCTTTGTCCAAATCAATTTATTTGGATCGCTAAAGTGCGAAAATCTGTTTGATAACCTCAATTTAAGAATAAAAGCAGTAAAAATCCCACCGACAAACAGTAAAGTGGCTAAGCCCGGGACAAAAAAAAACCCGGGACAACGTATAAATTTTTGCAAGAATGGTCTAGCTTCTGGCGTAAAATTTGACCTATCGAAAAATGTAATGTTTGCATACAACAATTTCCTGCAGACAGAAATAACAATAAGGCTGACAACAGCGAGGGAACGTGAACGGGAACGTGAATGTTCTGCTGATGCTGACAACTACAACCAGCCTTTAGGGCTGCAAAAAATTGGTAGAAAATGAAGCCCGAAAACCAACCACAGGCCAGGGCGACCAGGACATGCAGGACATGCAGGACGAGTGGAGGAAACAATGCCGGAGGCGGTCGCTGCACCGCGGGAAGCCACGCGGGCTGTTAAATCGATACACTGAGCGTATAAGCGAAACAAAACCAATACCAAAAGGCGACACACTGCCGGAATTTGCATTTGGCTTCTACCTCACCCTGCGCTGACTGCCCCTGCCCCTGTTCCTGCCACCCGCGAACAGCACACACTCCGCCACACTCCAGTACTGACACGCTGCGGGCCCTCCGGCTATGTGTGTGGGGCATGTCAGTGGTTGTCACCATCAGCATCACCAGATCCACAGTCAGAGCCAGGGCCGGAGATAGAAACAAGGAACCAGGGCTCTATGGCCCAACTCTGCTCAGCTGCTGTCACCGTCGACGATATTGGCTTTTTTCGGG